TCGGGGTCTGAGACATGAGGTTTTTTGTAGGTATTTGCGTATACTACAATTGGTAGTGGAGTTTTTTTGTCTTATTTTGATCACTTTTCCGTCCTACAAAATGTTTGACAGTCGCTTAAGGTTTCGAATCGATTTTCATTACCTCCGCAATTTTGGACACCGAATGGGTAGCATTGTTCAGTTGTAGTATCAAAATAGTAAGAGGTAAGAAGTCTTGATTTACTGGCGCTGCTGCTGCTGTAGATTTCATCAGAACTTTCATTTGGTTCTTCATTATCGCACAAACCAGAATCTGAATAAACGGATTTTGATACAATAGATAGAAAATAATTGAACAGTGGTGACTACCAATATTATAGTTTATTCTTTTCTCAATTAGTTTTTTTTTGGTTCGTGTTTGTAAACACGAATGAAGAACCACTAATGAGTTTTTTTTTTTGGTTGGATTACAGTTTCCAGTTACCTGGTGGAAGGTAACAAATGCTTGGATAATGTTGTGCAGCAGTGAATACTGGTGGATCTGGTAGTCGAGCTGCGTCAATGATGTAGGTTGAAACAGCGAAAAAGCTTAGGGTTAATAGCATCTGTAACTGGCCAAAATGGTTAGTTTTCAAAGAAAAAAGCAAAGAAAACGCGTAATTTTCTAGGAGGTGTTCTTCAGCAAATAATAATTAATTTTATACGCTTTGCTCTCTGTTTTTTTCTTCGCGTAAATTATGACGCATCAGTAAAATAAACGTTCTGACAAGATAAATTTACAGATGGTAGGTAAGGTTTTCTCAATTACATAGATGGATTAGTGGTGTAAAGCTCTTACGAACTGATTTTTGTTACAGTAAAATAAGACTTTCTGTTCCTTCCATCTTTAAAGTTTTTGATTTAGGAATTTGACGGTTTACAGGTAGTCTAATGTGTGAACCATTGAAATACGTTTACTTATTATTATTATTGCTTCTTTTTTCTGCTTTTTATTCTATAACTTTTAAAAGGTTTAATAAGTTGTTCAATTGGTGGAGTAATTTTCAATGACTGGAATTACGACTAGATAAATATTTAGCCGGAAGTACTTAGTGTAATTTTTTAAACGGAACTTAGGCCATTGCTCAGTGAGTTGTGGCCTTCGATAGTCAGCCAAAGCATTAATGAAGGAAAGAAAAAAAAAGACGAAGGAAGAAGTTTTGTAGGGTTTTGTGTTATGGCTTTAGAAGTGACGATGGATACAGTCAATGTTGAATGTGGAGGTTAAGTTGCAAATTATTTGTTTTGAGGTGCGTCAGTGTATTGCCAATATTATATTTCTTTCTCCAAGTACACTTCATCGGCAATAACCTGTAGTATAGCGAATAAGCATCGTTTTTCAGACTGAACTTTGCAACCTGGCAGTTTTTGAAACGGGGAAGAGGGGAAGGTTTTTTGAACCAAACAGTGTTGAAAGTTGATAAAAAGTGGAATAGAAAAGTAGAAGATTGTTAACTGACTGAGGAGAAAGGGAAGAGGCGGAACAGCCGGTGAAGTTCACTTTTTTCTAAAACTGTACAGGTTTTTTTTTGGCGCTAAAGATTGTACTTTGTTTTCTCTTTTTATATCTTGAAGTAACATTATATTTTCTATCTGATGCAGTTCTTCATAATTCACTTTTTTTTCCTTGCTTCTTCTTCCTTAGCTTCTTGCTGTTTTGAAGAAAAAGATAGGGTTTTGTAAAACTGGTGTCTCATATAGTCAGAAGTTGAATGTTATTATTATTATATTACATTCGGTATTAGTATATTAATTAATAAGCGAAAAAAAGGGACTTTTGTGGTTTACACTCAGAAAAGTTATAGTAATTGTGCCGTTGCTAACGGTGCTTGTAATAGTGACAACGAATTTCCGTCTGCTATTTGCCTATTACTAACGTTCTTGAATATGATATTCTTAGAATTTTTTGCTTCTATAACTATTTATTTTGGAATGTTAATGGCGACAGCTTAGAAGAACCAGGTGAGAAAGATGTTGGCATCAGTTCTTTTTTACGGGAAATAATCTAGCGAAAGGATTTTTTGGAGATATTTACGAGTGTTTGCTTTTTCTGTGCCTTAAATAAAGCATACAATTTGAGCATTATTTGTCAATGTTTACTTGTCAATGAATTTAGCGGTTTACTTTTGAATACAGAAATAAACTAAAGAGGAACGGGCATGAATAAACGCGAAAAAAAATAGAATGAACGGCGAGGAGAAGAAAAATCTGTCTACATATCGAGTTTGGAAGAAGAAAGAAAAGATGGATGAAAGTTGCGCAGAAGTGGAAATGAAAAGTTTTTTCTTAAGCTCAGTAAGTTGCTTGTGTTTATCTTTTGGTTTATGCTATTCCCACCTATCCTCTAGGTGAGAGTGAGACTTTTTTTGTCTATTTGTTGCAATCCTTGTCAGTGAAATTGGTGGTAGTAGTAATGCAATTTTCCTCTTGCTTTTTTACTCGTAAAAGGATGGATAATTACCACGGAGTGAAAGGGGGAAATTGAGATGCATCAATAAAAATTGAACGAATCTCTTCTTGTGTCAAATATTCTTTAAAAAAAGCAGTTCTTTTTTGTCCTTCTTTGTTTTTATTCTCTGGAAATTTCATATGAATCGATCTTTTTTGTGCAGTCTCATAGCTGACACGGAACATTCAACGAAGGATGGGAAGTCATTTAAAGTTTTAATGAATAGTGCCATTTACATAAACACTTATGTCTGTGTAATCTATGGTCGATCAACTTCGCCACTCTAAAACATGATAAGGATGACGGAAACTGTGATGATGATCATGGGAGAAAGAAAGAATTCAATGAGTTGGTATCTGCTAAAATTTTCATATCTATTCGCCATTACTTTACCACACTTAGTAGTTAGCTCATTAAGACTAACAATACCTGTAAAGAACAGGAAAAAAAAGAAGCAGTAAAAGCAAAACAAAAGCAAAAAGATTGTAGAAAAATGATTGGTTTAAAATTTGGAAGGCTTTTTAAGACAGTTTAGTGGAAATTGTTATGCAGTCAGTAATGGAGCAGCGTGACGGGAAATTACCACTTGTTAATGGTGTCAGTATCAACTAGTATAACTAGAGGCTTCGAGTCTTTAGTTTCCTTAATCGTTCATCGGTCAAACTTTTCTTCAATAAGACAGCATCATTTTCTTTTTGCTGTCTAAATTGGCTTACTGATGGTATTATTGATAAGCTTTTTAACCCTGTATTTGGCAAAAAAAGATTTTTTTGAATAATCTTTAATTAGAGGAACATATGACAAGCGCTGACTGTTGGCAAGGATTAATGACTGATTGAAGGTGACCAACCAACAGGTTTATAAAGTATAAGCAGGGTGTTACCAAATAACGCTGATAGAAGGAGCAGGATGGATACGTTTTTTGTTGTGGTGCGAGATGAAATATAGAAGTCAACAATAAAAATACTTAAAGGATCTCTCACTGGAAAAAAATGACAATAACTGATTTGTTGTAAAAAAGGAAAAAATAATTTTGCTTGTAGAACGGCCTTGTCAGGAAAATTTCTGATAAAGTAACGATTGATCTTTTAAGTGCTATTTATCCTATCCATACACTCAATTGGAAATAAAAACTACAGTGAAATACCGAATAGATCTATAAAATTTGACTGTTTAACAGCATCACCATCAATACCACCACTATTATCATCACCAACCAAATCAATGTCACTGTTCACATGAACAGCGATTATAGCAATTACAGATGAAGTATTTGCATAATCAGAAAAGAGTAATAGTAAATTCTGATTTTCATATTATGTTCAAAAATTTGAACAAGAAAAAAAGCTTTTTTTTAAACATAATTATATAGAAATTTTTTTCTGCTGCTCTTTTATACAATTCTTGTACAGTTCATTTTTATTTTTGTTCATTACTTTTCAGTATGCAATAGCAATAGGAGTAATCATAGCAGCAGCAACAATGGCTCAGGAATCAGAAAGGTCTTAAGCGAAAGATCACATTACCGGTGTCTTATTTTTGGCGTTTCAAAATTAGATGAAACAAAAGTGGCATAAGAAACAATAGCAAAAACATAGAAAAAACAAGAGCAACAAAGAATGTGAAAAAAACTTTAATTGAAAGATTTTTTCTGTCAAATATTATATATAAATAGTTTCTTTTTTTTTTTAAAGCAATTAACATACTTCAAAGGTGCAGAAATTGGAATGACGTCACAGTTACAAGAAAAAAAGAACGGATTGCTGCACCAAATTTCAGAGACTAAATGATAGTATGGTTTCTGCTTTTTTTTTTTCACCACCTTCAATTTTCTGCGCATTTATTTTGGAAAATTGCTTTCATCTGCTCTTATTTGCTACTTGCTGCTTTTTATACAAGAAAATCAAAGAAAAAAGAGCAAATTTTCAAAAAAAAAAGTAATGGATAAGAAAACTGATATTTGTTATCCCCATTACACATCTATTTCATTCTAAAAAATTTAAAAATTTTTTTTTTTTTGCTTTTCTTCGAGAAGAGTCTGTTTATTTTTTTTTTTACTCTTTCTCCCCCCACTCAGTGAATGAGACAAAACCGCTAGTATCGGGAATGGAGTATAGAAGTTTTCATTTATACACATTAAAAAAAACATTATATAACTCATGGATATGGTTCGAAAAGCTTTTAGTAACAAAAAGAAAATAGTTGTTGAGCCGAAGTGAGGACCAAAAAAAGTTTTCTTGTCAACATGTCATTTACGAAGTTTGTGCTACAAAAATTTTAGTCTTTTATTGACCAGACTTGAAACTTTCAATCCTTCAATGACGTCTAGTCCTCTTATGTACAACTGAACTGAAAAAGTAGACAACAAAGAGGAATGGCGAGTAGGAAAAAAAAATAACAACAGCATCAACAAAAAAAATTGACATTTATGGCCTTACATATGTTAACAAAAAAAAAACCATAAGGATTAAAACTTTAAAAGATGACTGATCTAACAAATGCTGTCATTGAACGAACAGTAGTTGACAGTTTAAGAAGAATTAATAAATGATTGAGGTATTAAGATATACGAATAGTTATTATTCTACAAATGTAAACGGTATTTGTGAAGGTTTCAATGACACAAATCACAATTGGCTAATCTAAGCATAGACTGTTCTGATTGCAGAAACAGTCTCAAAAGAAAGAAAAAAAAAGGGAGATTAAGTGGTCTCATAGAGTTCCAAAAATTGCCCAATTATTTGCAGCAAAAACCATAATAATAGTAATAAAAAGTATAATGATCAAACAGGTACCTTTTATTCCTCAGTCTTACTAAAATTATTATTATTATTTTTTTTTGCACACTATTCTTTTGGTGAATGTTCGAAGGTATTTTACTTTTTTTTTTTTTTT